AACAGGCCGGTGGCATATCTATAAAAAAAACTGGACCGAGTTGCCGCTGGGTGGCTGCCATGTTTGTGAATTATAGTAGCCATGGCCCTTCTAGTCAAGGATGTGGACAAGTTAACCTTAGGACAAGAATTATGTATCACAACCCCTCATGCCATCGAGGGAGTTCTCAAGCAGCCACCCGACCGCTAGTTGAGCAATGCCTGGATGACTCACTATCAAAGCTTACTCCTTAAGCCCCCAAGGATGCATTTTCTCCCAAGCACAGCCCTCAATCCAGCCACACTGCTGCCTGATCCAGACCTGGACATGCCCTTGCACGATTGCGTGGGAATCCTGAGCCAAGTGCACGGGCTCAGAAAAGACCTGACCAATCAGCTGCTTCCTGATGCAAAAGCCACTTGGTTTACTGATGGCAGCAGTTTTGTGCAAAATGGACAGAGGTATGTGGGGGCAGCCGTAGTAACAGAAAGTGAAACTGTCTGAGCGGCAGCTCTACCTGCGGGGACTTCAGCCCAGAGAGCTGAGTTGATAGCCTTGACCGAGGCTCTTAAATTGGGCAAGGACAAAAAATTAAACATGTATGCAGACAGCCGGTATGCCTTTGCCACAGCCCATGTACATGGGGCCATCTACCAGGAGAGGGGGCTGCTCACAGCTGAGGTGAAGACTATTTAAAAATAAACAAGAAATCCTAGACTTACTGGCTTCCCTATGGCTACCCAAGAAACTGGCTATCATCCATTGCCCTGGGCACCAGAAGACAGATAGGCCTATAGCCCGGGGAAACCAGAAGGCAGACCAGGTTGCCAAGGAGATGGCCCTGAAAGCAACCTTAGTTCTGGCTGTCCATCTGCTGGACCCAGAGCCACCCATGCTACCAGACCAACCTGATTATTCTCAGGAAGATCTGAAGCTCATACACAAACTTCCTATGACCCAAAAGATCGAGGCTTGGTGGCATACAGGAGACTGTAGAATTATTCTGCCAAACGACTTGGCCAAAGACCTCCTCACACACATCCACTGAACCACTCACCTGGGTACAAGGAAAACGGCTGAACTCTTAAGAAATGCTCACTTAAAAGTCTTGAATCTCTGCCCACTGGTTAATGCAGTCGCCTCTGCATGCCTTAGTTGCAAGCTGGCCAACGCTGAAAACCATCCTAAGGAACAAGGGGCTCGAATGTGGGGCTCTAGACAGGGGGCCCACTGGGAGATGGACTTTACAGAAGTTAAACCAGGCAAGTATGGTTACAAATATCTACTAGTTCTGGTAGACACCTTTTCAGGATGGACTGAAGCCTTCCCCACCAAGAATGAGACCACTCAGGTGGTAGCCAAGAAACCGCTGGAGGACATCTTACCCAGGTATGGCATCTCAGTCCTTCTGAGCTCCAACAACGGGCCAGCCTTTGCATCACAGGTAACCCAGGAATTAGCTAGGATATTGGGGGCAAGATGGAAATTACATTGTGCATACAGGCCCCAGAGCTCGGGACAGGTAGAGAGGATAAATAGGCCTCTAAAAGAGACCCTTACCAAATTAACCATGGAGACTGGTGGGGACTGGATGGCTCTCCTTCCCTTTGCCCTGTATAGGGTGAGGAACTCACCCTATCTACTAGGATTGACCCCCTATGAAATCATGTTTGGAAGACCCCTTCCTATCCTCCCCAGTCTAAGAACTGAACTAACTGCTGAGTTTGATAACTGACAGTTGCTTGATTCCCTAGAAGCAATGGCTCGGGCACATAGGGATGTATGGCCCCGGCTGAAAGCTATCTATGAGACTGCTCCCCCTCCTACCCCACACAACCACCAGCCTGGCAATTGGGTCTATGTCCGCAGACACCACCAAGAGACCTTGGAACCGCGCTGGAAAGGACCCTGGGTGGTACGAACAACTGTTTAATTGGTCTCCTTGGCTCACCACCTTGCTCTCAGCCTTAGCCGGACCCTTAATCCTCCTCCTATTAATGTTAACTATTAGGCCATGTATCATCAATAGGCCGATTGCCTTTATTAGAGAACGGGTGAATACAGTACAACTCATGGTCCTGAGGTCCCAATATCAGCCCTTAGAACCCCTCATTAGGGACCCTAACCTGGACCTAAGATTGGGTCCTCTCTAAGTTACAAAGAAAAGGAGGGAATGTGAAGCCCTCCTCCTTGGCCCCCTGCCCTGGACTCCTGAGACCCCCTACCCCTCTTTAGGACTAACTGCTCTTTTTCGCTTCTGTAAACTGCTTAATTGCTTGATTGAAGGGACAAACTATATTGACCCCATTTTGACTAGCTGTTTCAGGCGAGCCTGAACATGCCTAGGCATATTGTAATCTCCACCTGCCACCCCCACCCCAGGAGGCTATAGGTCAAGCAAGCCCAGACATATAGCAGCCTTTATAAGGTAGAAACAGAGACTTCTGGCTCTACAGATAACAGCACATTCCACAGCTCTGAGGGTAGTGCCCACCAATGAGAAGCCCCCAGGACTACATCCCTTATAACAAATCAATTCAAAAGTGTGTTGGTGTGCACGGGCTCCTTGGACCAGTCAAGATGTGACTCTGTTATTCCCCTCCTCCCTTTATCTGAAACCTCTGAAGAGCTCCCTCCCCCTGCAATCGGGGCTCTCAGATGGACCTACCACGTTAGTTTGGTCTGAGAGTCTGAGCTTAAGCCAGAATAAAGACTCTTTGTTCTTGAAAAAAAAAAATACACACAGCAACAAAATATGTGATGATTTCACAACAATCCTGCCAGAACATAGTTTTCCATCGAAACAAAATTAGGTATACTACTGATCACACTTATTGAGTCAGGAGTTACACTTCCTGACAAATGATTAATATATCCAATAACTGACATGTCACTAGAAAACTTTTAAATTACATAAAAATTAGAAGTGGTTGTTCTATAGTAAGCAAATTATAGCAAACCAGAGTCGTTCTCAAAATTTCTCTCAAGAAGTAACAAAGACTCAGAAATACAAGCAGCATATGTTCTCTCTCACTTGTGGATCTTACCCAAATCCCTAGATGTGAGTATATATCCTGATGTAACCACAGGAACCAAGAAAATGGGAAGGAACCATGGGAGTAAAAGGGAAGAAGAAGCCTAAGAGAGAGGGTAGTAAGAGTCAGGCATTATTAAGAGAGGGATGAGGAAAAGGGGGGTACTTTAACTGGGGAGGGAGCACTGAAGATTATATGGTGGCAGTGAGAGGAGACATAAACAATGTTTAGATGGTATGAAAAACCAAAGGGAAATGTTCAAAGTTCTACTGAAAAAAATGCATATTCAATAAATATATAAGTGCATGTGTATAGCTGAAGAGTATATAACAAAAACACAGTGTCAGGCAAGAGAAACTTCCCTTTGAGTTATTGGTCAGGGTAGTCCAAGAGACTCCAAAAATAATGTAGCCTGTTGCTAAAGTCCTTGATTACCTCACAGAACTTGAAGGTAAGACCCAATTGCTAAAGACAGGCCACACTTTGGACATGGGGCTTGAAGCAATTGAGCTCGAACTGACTTGGAAGCCTCCTCCCTGAAGACTAGATCTCATGGTATCAGAGGATACTATACAAGCTACCAAGGGAGAAAACCAGTCAATGATCTTACTCAGCTGTAAAGCCTAATAAACAATGACGGGGGGGGGGGAGGCAGTAATCAACAGCTGTCTAATTGGAATTAAACCCACTCAATGGAATGGAACTTATGTGTGGTACTGTAAACATAGCCAGATACACATTGCTGGAGAGGTGTAGGTCTCACACTAATAGATCTTAGAGAAAAACCTATGTCTGTCACATCCCTAGACCAACATAAGTTCTTACATTATTCTAAATATGCATCCTCATATTCACAGAGAAGTGTACCTTTCACCCCTCATCAAAAAAGCTTCTTTTTGCAACAGGTGGAGACTATTACAGAGTTATAGAGCTTGTCAAATGCAAAGAATAAGGGTCTGTGAGACACTTAAGCCTAAGTGACACATCTACAATGCAACCTCTCCATGAAGGATGAATGTTTCTCTCAAATCTCACCAAAGAAGTTTCCTTATGTGGCAGATGGTGATTAACACAGAAATCCACAATTTGCCAATGTGCAGAGAACAAGAAGCCACAGTATGTTTGTCCTTGAATAGGACACCTCTGCCTCCCAAGGTTCAGAGATCAGTGTTGAAGAGAAGGCAGAAAGATTATAGGAGCCTGACAACAAGGAGATAGAGTCTTCCAGACAGCTGGTCAGTTCCTCATATGAACTCTCAGCTGATCTAAATATCATCAGACTACACTGTATGAAAATCTCAAAAATCCAATAAAATGTAAAATAAAAACCTATGTCAGCATAGCACAACTACATGGAATACAATGTTTTTCCATATCTAAAATGCAATAAAATTCAACAGATTTAGTCAATATTTCTTGAGGACAAACATGCTATTTTTCTCTCTCATATAATTTCCCCATTAGTTGACTGCCTATCAGCAGCAGAACTTCTGAACCTCTCTGTAAGGAGAGGAGCAACAACTCAAAAATGGAGAAATTTGAGCACTTTAGATAATAAATTCTTGCAGTGTTTACCTAGCTGTGTTATCTA